CAGGAAAAGCCCTTTCTGCCCCAGGGGAACAGCAGGAAAGAGAGCGGTGTCTTTCTTTTAAAGGGGTCCTTTGCACCTGCATGCAGACTATGTAATCATGGAACCCTGGGCTGACCAGGGCACCCCGAGTGCATTCTGCCAGGTGACAGGGGCAGGCCAACACAATGCCTGAATCCTTACAGTAGTGTACACCAATCTCAGCAGTAGAAGCAGATGGGTGCATCTGTGTGCCAGCCTGATTTGAATAGCCAGTTCTAGGCCAGACAAGACAAAAACAAAACAAAAATTCAAGAATGCTCTCATTCAAGCCAACTAAGGAACTTTCAGAAAGCTGGTAACGTTCAGACACAGTATAGACCTAAGAGGAAATGTAAGAGCATCCATCCAAAAGAAGTGAGATTTGTTTTTAGAGCCTCCCCCCTTTAAAGACACACCCATTGTAGCCCCATACTGTAATCCCAACACTGGGGAGACAGAGACAGGGGCAGCAGAACAGCCTCTGATTTTCTGGCTCCCTGATGCATCTGTTGTCACCTGTCTGCAGCTCAGGTCTCTGCTGTTTATTAAGGCAGGTGTCTTCGCAGGAAGCTCTGCGTGGGCATTTCTGAGTTATATGTCTGACTCAGGGCTGAATACTTAGTATGTATTGTCTCACGAGTCCCACACTGGTCCTTTCCAAGGGCTTTTGTTTTTGTGCTCTGTAGCTCAGGGAAGGTCGGAAGCCTGCCTATGGTCACATAGTGGGAGGGCAGTGACTGGAAAACACATCCCATAAGCCAAACTCCAGGGAAACCCATCAAAAGCCATCTCTAGGAAGCCAGGATGCCAGGATGCCAGGCCCAGCTCGGAGGGATCGGTGTTTCCTGTCTGCAGCCAGGCAAGAAAGTGACAGTGATTGGTGTGGGTGCAGGAGGTACAACCGACCACATGCTGTGTGTGTTATGTTGAGATTCAGTTCATCTGTGCTGTGGTTGAAACATGAATGTGGTAGGTCTCAAACCCAGGATAAATGGCTAACTAAGGTGCCTATTTAACATACCAGCATCTTCTAGCATCACTACCTGTTACAGGGTATGGCTGGCATACCCTGTCCCCTACTCTGAACTCTCCAGCCCTAACTTCAGCTGCCCTTTCCTGCATAATCTAGACATTTTGGTTACCTGGCCTTTTGTTTACCTGACTCTCCTCTCTCCTCACACAGTGTCACAGTGTGGCTCTCTCTCCACACACAGTGTGGCTCTGTCAGATGTCCCTCCTCTGGCTATGCTCCCCCTCGTATCTACAATGAGCTTTCTCCTCCACCATACTTAGGGACAGACATGTCCTTCCGTTTTTGTTTCCGTTTTGTTCACTCAGCGTGTAGTTAGCTTTCAGTTGCTACTCTGAAAATTACCTTGAACTTCATGGCATAAGATGACACAATTCTTGTCCCGTAGTTCAGGAGGTCAGAACTATGAGATGAGTCAAAGTGTTGTCAACAATGGCTCCTCCTGGATGCTGCTGCAGGGGAGAATCCATTCCTTCCCTGGCCCACCCTCTAGAGGCTGTGCACATTCTTTGGTTCACTGGCTCTTTCCTCTTCTGTGTTCAAGTGATGTATGGGAGTAATCTCTAGTCAGCTGGTCTCCCCCTCCCTCTCTTGTCTCTACCATCACATCTCTTTTTCTCTGGTACCAACCCTTCAGGGTCTTTCTTCCAAGGATCTGTACAGTGGCCACCAGGATAACTCAGAACACTTGTCCTCGTTTCAGCATCCTTGAACTTAATTGTATTTACATAGTCCCTTCTGTTATGTGCGAAATAAGTCACAGGTTCTAGCGCTAGACGCAAGCACGTTTAAGAGGCTTCCATTTCTGTCTGCCAAGAAATGTAAAGGGAACAGCAGTGTTTTGTGGCCTAGCCTGGGTACAGTATTTCTAAGGTAGTTCCTATGGTCCAGGAGCAACATTTTGGGGAGTAAGGACAGCCTAGTGGAGGATCTACTGCTCATATGCTGAGAAATTTACAAGAGCACTCAAGGACTTACAAGAACAAAAGATCTTTAAAGTACAGATAAGAACTGGTACCCAGAGAGGTGTCTAGACTAGTTCTTGGGTTTAGGAGCTGCAGTTGTCGGTGGGATTAAAATCTCCACATTTACAATCACAGACGTGGCACACTAGTGGACCTGTAGGGACTGTGATGACCATGTTCCTCTCTAGTGAGCATACAGGCAGACTGATGTGTCAGGAACATAATTTGTTAAGGGCCAGACTAGATAAGTCAGGCAGCCTGGTGATGAGAAGGGATTCATTCGGAATGTGAAGAGAAGGGAATTCTGGGGATACAGGGGTACCCAAATGGAACTGCAGTGTTCTTATGGTTGTGGGGGGTTGGGATGGGAGTGGGGGGGTGAGGGAGATTTGTTGGGAAACCAGGCAATAAAGGGCCACACCAAGAATGGTACAGAGGGGTAGGGAGCCCGTGAGGCACTGGGGGCATGGGGGTGAAGGAAGGTAGGTGATGGACGTGTTTTTTTGCACCTCACCTTTGTGGCTAGAGCCTCTTGAAGTCAAGGTCTGGGTCTGATTTGTAGATAGATATTGGCCCAAGGGCGTAGGACAAGTTGGAACCATCAGTGGGTAATGGGTGGGCAATTCACACATGTCTTCATGTCCTTGAGGCCAGCTCACCTGAGCCTCTTTGGACAGCTCCTCACATCAGAAACCTTGTTGGGATGAATTTCAGTTCTTGTGTGCAGAACACAGCATGCAATGCATAGGTCTTTGTCTTGGGCTCTTTTTTTTTTTTTTTTTTTTTTTTTTTAAACCAGGCATTAGCCATTGCAAGTGCTGATAAATATTTGTTACAAACATGCCTCAGTGGAAATTTATGGGGAACAAACAAACAAAAGACAGAGAGGAACAGTAGCAGAGGAAAAGCTAAGCAAGTTTCACAAGTTACGCGGATTGGTCACTAGATAGAGCCCCTTGACACCTCCTCTTAAATGTAATGCTTTCAGTGTTGAAAGATGACTTCTACGGGTATCTGTGCTCTTCTTTAAAACTCCTCCCAGAAGGAAGCTGCTGTGCACATTCTTTAAAACGAAAGAAACAAAACCATCCAGATAATTGAGGAGACTCACCCTCAGTGGAGGGGAGTGGTGTCCCTTGGTTGCCAGCTGAGAACACACTGGTTTTTCTATCCTGAAGCTCCTTTTTTTCCTCAGCATTATGGCCAGTTGCCAGCCTTTCCTCTCCTAGGTTTTGTGTACAAGTTGTACATATTGTTCCCATCTTTCATTCATCCTTATTTGGAGGCTACCTTGCAGAGGTACCCGGCTTTCTCTGCTGCTCACGATTTTACTTTAGCCACATACACTTTGTCATCTAAGTGGGGAGTGCTTGGTGGGCCAGGGATTTGCAATTTGTGACCAGTTACTCTTCTCTGAAAGTATGAGTGTCAGGCAACTTCATGAAGTGGATTCATGACTGTTATACATACTACATCACCTAAAATAATGTCTGGCTCATCATGGCACGTGCGTTTGTTTATGTCTTAGGGCTGTGAAAGGGGGAGGAGTGGCATGGTTGGCAGTTTTGAACATTCCTAAAGCCTTGTGAGAATTGGATTTGCCCTCTTCCTGGTTGTTATTTGGGTCTCTGCTGTCTGGAAGTCAGGGGGCTTCTATCTAACAGACTGTATGCTAAGGAGTGAGGAATGCTCTTAATATTTTACTTTCCAAAGTTTGATACCATGAGATTTTCTTCAGGCTCCCAATATTCAAAGAAGAAAGGATTGGAAAAGAAAGGATTGGAGAAAGAAAGGGAGCTTCTGCAGTTGCTGGCTGCAATCAGTAGATTTAAGTTGTGCGTTATTGCTTGCTTATTCCTCACTTTGGTGTGTCTGTGTGCCTGCCTGCCTCTTTCTGCACAGCTGTGATTTTCTGTGTATATCTGAGCTCAGGGATATGGTTTCAGTGGGTGTGCCTGGCTTCAGGATAAGCAATACGAACATGCCTGTAGCATATGGAAGTGATGGGGTTGTGGCCTGAAATCCTGGGCCCCATCCGAAGTGTTCTCCACATTGTGTCTCAGTGTAACAATTGCCTATTAAACACCAGGCTGCTAGCATATGGTTCTCCCCAACATCCTCCTTGTTAAGTGGAAACGTTAGCTGTGTGGTTCAAATATTTTCCCATCATTTAGCACTTCAGAATTAACATATTTTAGAGAAGTCCCCAATTAATACCGAATGGCACATTTGCAGATTATTAAAGAAATATTTAAACAGAGTCAGTAGACCTGGGCTGACTGATCTGGGGGTCTTTCTTAGGAGGGTCAGCTTTGGGGTTGGGAAGAGGCAGGGTCAAAGGGAGGATCTGGTGTTCCCTCTGTGGCTGCTGTAATTGGAGTGGGAAATCTGGTGGCGTTGTTACCCTACTATTAAGGCTGCAGATGGCTAATGGCCACATCACCAAGAGTTAAGAATTCCAAGTTTTGAAGTTTTTTTTCTTTTATGACCTACCCCGTGTATTCCCAGCATAAGTATGGAGGCAGTGAAGAATTTTCTCATTAAAATAATGGCTTATTCCCACATTCATTTCCAGTCTTGGAATGTGAACTGGTTTCCGTAGACTTGAGGAATTGCCTATCTGTCTTGCCGTACCAGAGCTTTCGGATGAGGCTGTCTGTAGGCGAGTTTTATAACTAATCAGAGTATCCAACTGGAAGGGCTCCATCTGGCAGCCCTGGTCTCTATCCTAATTTTATTGCTAATGAATTATTTAACCCCCAAACATAGACCAGTCTGTGCCTGTTGTCTTAGGGGTAAGAGTGCCCAAGATTCCCCATGGGTAGGCATTTCTTGGACTGGAGGGTGTTCGGAGTAGTGGTGGGGGCCAAAGGAGTAGGAGTCGATTGATAGGTCTGTGTGACCCTGGACCTCTGCAATGCTTCCTTCATTTCCATCCTGGGAAAGTAAATTGTTTCACTTTGCATTTTGTTCTCATTTTTCCTCAGGGAGTGGGGCCAGCCAGCAGAAACAGCGGACTGCACAACATCACCTTCAGATATGACAGTAAGTAACCAACTTGGCTACAGGGAAGAAGGCAGGCAATTTCTTTCAGAAATCCAAAGCTCACACACTTGTACTTCATCAAGGACATCACAGATCCAGGGGTTGAGGAGTTTTCTGAACCTGTTTGTCAAAAGTTAAACCAGCTTAGTCTCCATTTAGCCACTGACGTGTTTGGGAGCTTGAACAGGTCAAGTGTCTTATGTGGTTTTCAGAAAGTCGAATGTGACGACCTGACCTCAGGACATAGCCTTGTCTTTAAGAGAAAACACAGATGTCAGTAGGTCCCACCAGAGATGAAGGAGTGAATTTACTCAAGTGTAGGCCTCAAGGCAAGGATGGAGATTGGCATACTGGGCAACCCATCTGATCTGAAGGGGCCACTGGCTTCCTAATTCCAGCTCATTGTGGTCTTGAGGAATTCCTACTGGATGTAGCCAGATGTGGTTTCTAAGAATATTGAGAAGTTCTAAGAATAAACACCCCACCCCTGTAAAATGTTTTTCAATATTGGCCTTTTATTTAAGACCCCACCCCCAATATACACACATGCACAAATACTGAGTGGACCAAGAAGAACTGTATCTCAGGGTGGTCCAGGGGTCTTGGGTTGGCCATCTCTGAGGTACCCACGTTCAGTTTCCCATCCGTGTGTGTGACAAGTGATGTAACATCTCCACAGCATCAGTTTGAGGCTTAACTGGGATAGTCTTCACACTGTCCCCTCAGTGGCTGGCCTGCTGTAGATGCCCAGTAAATACTATCTGCTGGTGTCAGAGGTCCATGCAGCTGTGCTTGAATACAAACAGCAACGCTTTTTGTTGAACTTTCCTGACTGAATTGTTATCTAAGGACAGGGTGACTTTACTTCTGATTAAACATTTATAATCCATTGTAGGCTGAGGACATTACATGGAGCTGTAAGCATTTTCACCTCATGTGCGATAATTTATATATAAACATGATAAGAGGAGCTGCGACTCCTGTTAGTTGGCTCTTGATTTCTCAATCATCTCATTTGGAGGCCTCTGGAATAATCAATGAAATGATCATCTGTACTCTGACCAAGGGTTTTTGAGGTCATGAATACAGTGTGACAATTTTAAGATAGGCATATGTGTTTCAAATTCACATTCGCAGTTGCTGGCTTGAGTATTTAAAGTTACCCAGAAAGACTTACACATCACAAGCAGGCTCTTCATGTCAGTGGTGTGTGCATGTTTCAAGTAAATGCCATGATGGTAATGAAAGATTTGCAAGCCCATGATACATGATTCACCTAAGTAAAGACATGCGTAGAGAACTGTCCTTTCTGTCCTAATCTGTGCTCTTGGTCCGGGCAGATCCTGTATTAGAGTCAAGAGCTCGTTTGCAAAAAAATATTTGTCATTTAATATGGAATTTTAAAAAATTACTTTTATTTTTATGTAAGTTTGTGTTTTGCCTGCATGTATGTCTGTGTAAGGATGTTGAATCCCCAGGAACAGGAGTTACAGACAGTTGTGAGCTGCCATGCCATTGCTAGGAATTGAACCCTGGTCCTCTGGAAGAGCAGCCAGTGAGTGCTCTTTACCTCTGAGCCATCTCTCCAGTCCCCTTAATATGGATTCTTATAGTAAAAATTCTATGGCTATAAAACTTAAAAATGTCTTATGGTTGCCTTTTTGGTTTTGCTCTTTTGTGCTTTTGAGGCAGGGTCTCATGTAGCCCAGGCTGGCCTTGAACCCTTGATCCTTCCTGCCTCAGCCTCCAGAATGCTGGTTTTATAAGCATTTGCTATAATCCCCTGATTTGTTGTATAAAAATTTTGCCCAAATGCCTGCCTCTTAGTCATTACTGGAATCTTCACTGCATTACCTGTGTGCGGTGAGAGGCATGGATGACTTTTCCGTTGTTCTTATATCCCTTTGTGTTTCCAGATGCCTTCAGCAAACATTTTTAGTTATAAAAACGGGAAATGAGCACAGCAACAGGAAATAGGAATGCAACAGACTGACTAAGTGTCATAGAAATTGTTCGGGGGTCTTCTACCCAGGGCAATGCCCCTTGCTTCATTGGGGGCAGATGATGTGAATGCCCTTGGCAGTAGGTACAGAAGAGGGGATCTGAGTTGAATCATGAGAATTCTGGGGAAGCCAGAAAACAGGTCTCTCGGCAAGGGCATCTGCCATAGAATGTGGTAATTCTGTAAAGATGATCTAGCATGATTCTGTGATGACCCAGCATGATTCTGACTCAAAGCTTAGGGCAGCTTTTGAAGGTGTAGTCTCCAATACCCAGGGACAGTGTCTCAGTCAGTGGTGACTACATTGACACCATCAGACAAAAATCAAAGTAGGTTGTTCTTTTCCCCCTGCTAGTAGTTTGGGCATTTGGAGACCTAACAGTGTTGTAGGTATCTCTCAGAAAACTGTTTTGTCTTTGAGAATGTTAGCTAGCATCCTTATTGCTCAAACATGGTGCCTTGTATTATAGATTCTCAGTTATTTAACAGTTTGTTAGTTCCTTTTCCCTAGTGACCTTGCCCTCTTGTTCTCTTCTGAAAACAAACATGCTCCAAAGGATTTAACAGGGTTTTCTTTCCCAACACTCCTTAATGTTGGGAACTGGTACTTAGTGATTTCAGTGAAATGTTATAGTAATAAGATAGGAGTAAGGGGGAAAAACCCTCAGTTAATGGCTGACACAAAAATAATCCACACTGTATCCAACAGTTCTAGTAGTGTCCAGGCGTTTTAATTCCAGAGAGTGGGTGGGTTTTTGTTGTTACAGCTACATCCCTGGGTAATGTATTTCCCAAGCCATAATCAACTTTAGTGTCTTATTTGAGGTTTTGAGGACATTCTTAATAAGAGTGGATTTGGCACCTCTAGACAATACCATGGTCTGCTAAGATGAAATTGAAAATAAAGGTTAAAAACTGAAGCTGTTCTCTTTTCCCCAACTCTGCAGACTGTACGACCTACTTGAACCCAGTTGGGAAGCACATGATTGCCGATGCCCAGAACATCACGGTCAGCCAGTACGCTTGCCATGACCAAGTGGCAGTCTCCATTCTTTGGTCCCCAGGGGCCCTTGGTAAGTGGTCATGGTCACATTCTCTGTGGTGGATGGGTGATGCCAGGATGAGTGGCCATGTGTGGTGTGTTGATGACAGTGACGCTGAGAAAGGACACTGGTGCCTTTGTCCTTTGTTGTACCCTCCTGGCTGATGCACACACCCACACCCACACGCACCCACACAGGACATACAGAGCTTGTAGAACTGCCCCATGGCCTGTGTTTTGTTTTGTTTCCTTGTTTTAGAAAATCATGAGTTTGAAAGATAGTGTGATTGGTGATGGTTTTACTTTTAGGCAAGGTTTTAGTCTGTAGCCCAGGCTGAGTGCTTTAGCCTTAGTCGAGGGAGGTGATGGTCCTGCGAATGCCTGTGGCCTGTCCAAGGGCATATTGGCTTTGCCTTCCACTGTAAGTGATCTCTGTTCTCTACCGTCACAATGACATGTGGGTCCACCTTTAGCACATTTTGTGATTTTTTTTTTTTTTTTTTTACTTCTCTCCCTCCCCCCACCCCCAACAGGAAATCCTTGTTTTTATAAGAAAGCACGAAATCAGTGAGTTTTAAGAGTTGGAGACCAAGTTGAGTTTTTTGTTTTTGTTTTTTTAAGTCAGGGTTTCTCTGTGTAATAGTTCTGCCTGCCCTGGAACTCAGTGTAGACCAGGCTGGCTTTGAACTCACAGAGACCCGCCTGCCTTTGCCCCCCCCCCCCAGGGCTGGGATTAAAGGCCACCACTGCTGAGCCCTCTCTCCAGCCCCAAATGTTGTTTCTTTTTTTGCTCTCAAAAGGCAAGCTCCTATGAGATCTAAATAGTAGGTCCTGCAGAGATGTTGTACTGTGTCATCATGTCTGACTCTCTTGTCACTCTACAGGAAGCTTTGTGATTGAAAAACACCATGCACCAAAAAATTCCCAGGTTCTACAATATGAGGCTCTAATTGTGGCTTTTCTGCCAGAGCCACATTGAAATATGTGCTCTTCATCAAATAATTACAGAATTGGAGGACCAGCTCAAAAGAGAAAAAGATTTCTGTGACCTTTGCCATCAATAATTTCCCCACCTGGTTAATTGCATCCTGTGTAATTACTTTTGCCCTGGGAGGGGAAGGGTTGGAAATGTCTGCTTGTCTGGTGTTCAGAAAGCATGTGAAATCGATATCTCAACAATTGAGGCCAGCTTTGGGGAACTCCAGCTGCACTTGGGCCACTCCAGTCTCCATGGGATACAGAGCCCCAGTGCTGGCTCCTGTGGCCATCAGAGCTTAATCCTTTTGAAAGCATCTAGTCAGATGTGCAGTGGGAGGAAACTCAGGTGGAGGCTGGGCTGGTGCCTTTCAGAAGCACTGTGGGCATCTTGGGGCCTCTGAGGGCTGTATGCAGAGCACACACTGGGCAGCCCTTGGGTATCTACATTTCAGGCATGATTAGTGTAAGACCGCCAATTCCCTAAAATATTTAATCTCAAGCCTAGGAACCCTCTTGAGCGCAGACATACACTTTGTTGGGAATGTTGTAAGTTCCCAGTGAAACACATCAAGGAAGTATATAGCTAAAACTAGAGATTGAAAACAAAGTTTGGGGGCATTCACTAGGATTATTGTCAACTCTGTGTGCCTGAAATTATGCATTCCACTGGAGACTTTGTGATCCTAAATATTGAACCCAAGTGTTACAAAAGCAATAGATATTTGTTCCAGTGGCTGAGTGGGCTAGAGATGTATTAGGTACCATGATAGTGATCACTCAAGCTGTCACAGAGGAATGAAGGAACGTTGTGCATTCTCCTGTTCACTGGCAGAGTAGCTTCAGTGTGTAGCTGGAGAGGATTCGACCTTGGAGGAAGGAAAGTGTTCAAAAGTAATTAGGTTTGCATTTCATAAAAAAAAAAAAAAAAAAAAAAAAAAAAACTCTGTTTTGTTTAGGCATTGAATTCCTAAAAGGATTTCGAGTAATACTGGAGGAGCTGAAGTCAGAGGGAAGACAGTGCCAACAACTGATCCTAAAGGACCCGAAACAACTCAACAGTAGCTTCAAAAGAGCGGTAAGTCACACCCAGGGAATGTGCTCCTGAAGACACCATTGTTCCGGGGGTCTGAATGGTCTATTGAAAGTCTGAAATTGGAGAAGGGGGTGAGGGTGGGAGTGGGGGGGGGGCTATGGGGTCCTCAGCTCAGCCAAGGTGGGTAAGAATGGGAGGCAGCAGCTGAGCCTGCCACACACCCAGGAAAGCTCCTCAGCAGGCCTCTTCAGCTGTGGTAAACATGCCTCTCCAGTTACACTGAAGCAGTTAGAACTCTCCCAGGTGTCTGGTCTGAAGAGTACTGTGGGCTCATCCTTGTTAGATGCCTCCAGCTCCAAGGTTCCAAACCCAAGCTGAGTCTGTCAAGTTGACCTGACTTTCTGCTTTCCTGGTATTTGCTCAGGTCTGCAATTGTGTCTAAGTGATAGTGTAGAGTGTGCTGTCTTTTGTAGGTGGGGGTGGACATTTCCTCCACACTACATGTGTCTTTGTTTCCTTTTAGGGAATGGAATCTCAGCCTTTCCTGAATATGAAATTTGAAACGGATTACTTTGTGAAGATTGTCCCCTTCCCTTCCATTAAAAATGAAAGCAATTACCATCCGTTCTTCTTCAGAACCCGGGGTGAGTATGGTCTTTCTTGCCTGGCTCCCAAAGGAGTAATTTCTGCTCCCATTGATCTCTCCACAGATGTGTTGAAAAACACACCAGATACTGATAGGCAGGGTGAGAAGCAAGTTTACATTAAAAAAAGAAAAGGGGACATGGTTTTTCTACAATCCAAGTTGTCCTGAAATTCAATAGGTAGCCCAGGTTACACTAACCCCATGTCAGTCCTCCTGTCTCCACTTCAAGAATACTAGGGTTACAGGCATGAGCCACTATACTAGCTCAGAAATGCATTTTCAAGAATAAAGGCTGGAGAGTTGGCTCAGCACTTAAGAGCACAGGCTATTCTTCCAGAGGATCTGGGTTTGATTCCCAGCACCCACAGGGCAGCTCACAACCATGTGTAATTCTAGTTGCAGGGGATCCAGTGCCCTCTGTGGACCTCTGTGGACACCAGGTATACACATGGTGCACAGACATGCCTGCAGGCAAACCCCCCCATACACATTCAAGATAATAAAAAGGAAATAAATAAGTAAAGGTTAGCAGGCATTAGCTATAGCACAGTGCTATAGTGCTTGCCTGGCATGTACAATCATTTGCTAGACGTGGCAACACATGCTAGTCATCCCAGCACTCAGCACAGAAGCAGGGAGAACATTGCAAATTTGATCTGTATAGACATTGCTGCTTAGCAAGACCCTATCCTAATACAAAGACAAATATACCAATAAGCCGGGTGGTGGTGGTGCATGCCTTTGATCCCAGCACTCAGGAGGTAGAGGCAGGTAGATATGAGTGAGTTTTAGGCCAGCCTGGTGTACAAATCGAGTTCCAGGACAGCCAGGGCTACACAGAGAAACCCCATCTCAAAAAGCCAAGAAAAAGGAAAGAAAGGAAACACACCAAGAAAATTTAGGCTAGGCCCAACTAGAGATACTTCTCTCTGCTTTGTTTTGGATCACGATTGATGTTCATTTACATATAGTTTTTTGTTAGCTTGTTTATTTATGGAGACAAGGCCTTACTCTGGAGCCCTGATTATAGAACCTAGCTATATAGTTAAAGCTGGCCTCAAACTTGATAGTCTTATTGCCCCTGCCCTGGGATTATAAACATGAGCTGCCATGCCAGTTGATATTTTAAAACATTTATTATTATTATTATTATTATTATTATTATTATTATTAATTATTATCCTTTTTGTCTAGTTTTTTGAGATAGGGTTTCTCTGTGTAGTCCTGGCTGTCTTGGAATTCACTCTGTAGACCAGGCTGGTCTTGAATTCACAGATATCCACTTGTCTCTGTCTCCAAAGTACTAGGATTAAAGGCATGCACCACCATGCCTGGCTAAATTATATTTATTTTGTGTGCATGTGTAGGGTGGGGGGGCAGGTGCCACAGTGTGTGTATGTGTGTGTGTATGTGTGTGTGTGTATGTGTGTGTGTGTGTGTGTAGGCACCATGGTGTGGTATGGAGGTCAGAGGATAACTTGAGGGACTTGGTCTTTTCCTTCCACCATGTGGGTCCTGGGGATTACTCCAGGTAGGCCATCAGGCTTGGTGGCAGATGCCTTTACTTGCTGAGCCATCTCACCAGTTCAGCATTTATCTTTTGATGACACTGTGATCACCATTAATGCATCTCTGTATAACAGCAATGTGATATTTGTTGGCAGGTATGATTTTTGTAATTTGGTTGTAGAGTACTTGCCTAGCTTGCATAAGACCCTCTGGCATTCAAAAAAAAAAAAAAAAAAAAAGACAGTTGGGAGGTGATTTAAAAAGAAACAAAGACACAGCCTAGGAATAAGAAGCTGAGAAGGAAAGGGTAAAAAGTAAAATGTAATATCACGAGGGTGGTCAGGATGAGATTAAAAGCCGTGTTTGAGGCAGGCAAGGCAGCACAGGGACCCACTGGCATTCATTTCACAGGATCCACATGAGAAAAGAGAGACCCAACTCCCCAAAGTTGTCCCCTGATGTTCTGACCCCCACATATAAAATAGAAAAATGCACACCCAAGACCACTTTTTCTAGAAAATTTCACTAAATTAACATTAAAATTTCTTCAGTCTCCATTCTAAATGCTTTCTAAATATTAATGCAGTCCACCTCTGTAATAATCTGGAAGAACCCCCCCCGCCCCCCCCCCCATACACTAAATAGATGTGCCCTCACTCACCGAGTGGGCAAAGGGCTTTGCTGAGAGCTGAGCACTAGAAGCCACACTGCCCGGGCACCTCCCTCATTTATTCTGCAGTGGCTTCTCTTTCATCTCCCTGAATGGCTGCTTTTAAATTTGGTGTCCAGTCACCGTGAGATCTTCAGTTTCTCATCCAGGTTGGCACCCCCTTTCCTTGTGACTGGTCTCTTTGTACTCCTCACTTTCTGTGAGGTGAGGTCTTAGCCTTAGCCTGTATCCATGTTTCCTTTTGTCAGATTGGTTTTAGTTGTTTTGTTTTTCAAGACAGGGTTTCTCTGCATAACTGCTCTGCTGTTCCTGGAACTCCCTTTGTAGACCAGGCTGGCCTCGAACTCATGGAGATCCATCCTGCCTCTGCCCCCTGAGTGCTGGGATTAAAGGCGTGCTCTGCCACAGCCCTGCAAAGTTGTGTTTTTTGGGCTTTTGTTTTTATTTTTTTCATGTGCATTCGTGTTTTCCCTGCATGTATGTCTGTGTGAGGGTGTTCGGTTCCCTGTAACTGCGGTTGCAGACAGTTGTGAGCTGCCATGTAGGTGCTGGGAATTGAACCTTGGTCCTCTGGAAGAGCAGTCAATATTCTTAACTGCTGAGCAATCCCTCCAGCCCTTTTGTCAAATTCTTAATGAGGTTGTTTTCTATGCTACCAAGATATTTTGTATGCCTTAATTTTCTAATTAAAAGGATATTCATTAGGTCAAGACCATGTATGTATCACATCTGTTCTTGCTTTCTACATAATAATCAGATATGTGTTTATGAAAAATTGTGCCTAAAAAGTAGAATGCTGGTGAAGGCTGAAATAACATCTCAGTGGTTACCAGAACCACTCTAGAGCCCTCTTACACAGCTGGAGAGATGGCTCAGAGGATACGAGCACTGGATGCTCTTCCAGAGGTCCTGAGTTCAATTCTTAGCAACCACATGGTGGTCATCCATAATGAGACCTGGTGCCCTCTTCTGGCATACAGAGATCCGTGTAGGCAGAACACTGTATACATAATAAATAAATAAATAAATAAATGTTGAAAAAAGAAAAAAAAGAAAAAAAAAAAAAAAAAAAAAAAAAAAGAAAGAAAAGAGCCCTCTTGTGTGTAGTCATCTCCACAGTGGGACATTCTGAGTGACAGAAGTATGAATAGTTCACTGCCTTTGGAGTCTTGAAGCTAAGTAATATAGACAGGTTTTAGAAACCTCGGTGGCTTTACATAGCTTCTACATAGGTGGCAGGAAATGCTCTCATCATTTAAATTTTTGTCAAGATGTAACATAACTGTATTGAAAAATCATTGTTGAGTTGACATAATTTGTACCTTCTCCAGCATACCAGGTCCAGTATATATTTTGTTCGATTGTTATAGAAGGAAGACATTGAACTGTCCTAAAACCAAAACTAGCCATCTTTCTTTCTTTTTTTAACCTAATAGCCTGTGACCTGTTGTTACAACCTGACAACATGGCCTGTAAGCCCTGTAAGTACATTTTATCTGTTGTCTCAAAGTGTTACCCCATAATGGTGTTGGGACAGCCTTTGGGTACTTACTGGGTCCTTCCTCCTCACAGTCTGGAAGCCTCGAAATCTGAACATCACCCAGCACGGTTCAGATGTGCAAGTGTCCTTCGACCATGCGCCACGGAACTTTGGCTTCCGTGGCTTCTATCTTCACTATAAACTCAAGCACGAAGGCCCCTTCAGGCGGAGGACTTGTAAGCAGGTGAGTGACTGTGTGAGGAACACACACGTTTCAAAGTGATATTGGGTGGCTGGGTAAGTGTTAAGCTCCCAAGCTCAGTGGATGTTTAAGAACGTTTGCTGTTGGGTCTGCCTCTAGCCGATTTAACATTGGCCTTGGCACTTTGGCTCTTTTAGGGTAGTTCGACACAGAACCAAGGGATGAAAGCACAGATATCTCTAGTTTGTATTGTGTTTTAAGTATCTACCAGGTGCTGTGTGGCAATCCCTAGCTTTCTGCTGTTCAAATCTGGGCTGCTCATCAAACAGCCCCTTCCATTCATCCTTCACAGATGGAAAGTCTGGTGCTCAGGGAGGTCATCAGACTGGTTGGAGTTCACATAGCTAGGAAGGAGAAAACACAGGTTTTGAGCCAAGTCAGTAGCAGATCAGTGGCCCTTGGTTTTTTGTTGTTTTTGTTTTTAAACTAAGTGTGCTCAAAACCAGTGGAAAGTCTCCTTCAGCTTTGGGAAGAAGAGGCCTGAGGCCTTTTCTAAGACATGAGCATTTGAATTGCTATTTGCTTCTTTGTAGGATCAGAATACAGACACAAGCAGCTGCCTCCTCCAAAATGTTTCTCCAGGGGGTTATGTCATTGAGGTATGCATAGCCATAGAATGCCCTTTTTGCTACATTGTGTCACTGAGGTATGTACAGCTACAGAATGCCCTGTTATTTCCACAGGAAGCAGTTCCCATAGAATTTTGAGTCTTTTGCTTGTTTATTTACTTTAAGACAGAGTCCCATGTAGCCCAGGATAGTCTCAAACTCCTTATAGAGCCGAGGATGACTTTGAAAACTAACTTTTCCTGTCTTTCCCTTCTGGGATTATAGATACTCATACCGTGCTCCTGGTTTTTATGCAGGCCCTGGGGATTTAAACTCTGGTTTCCAAACTTGCACAACAAATATTTTTTATTCACGGAGCCATCTCCTGCTCCATCTTTTTGAAAAAGGTTGACTTAAAGTGTTAAACTGCCTTCGTGCTCCCACTGCACGGGGATGGGAAATGAATGAAGTCGCCAGTGTCTACTTCCCTTGTAGATACGGTGTATAGATGTTCCATCACTTAAATGATAGTGACACAGCACTCTCTGCTCTGTAGCTGGTGGATGACAACAACACGACTAGGAAAGTGGTGCAGTATGCAGTGAGGCCAGGTAAGGCCCCTTCGGCTGGGATCTGATGCCACACTCTCGAGAGCAGGCTTTGTATTCTATGCTCTGTGTGTCCTTCATGTTCAACACAGTCACCTTTTCTCAAATGAGTTTCCGTGCACATTTGTATTGGTGGTGCCTTGAAGATCAAAGTGGGCATGGCATCTGCCGCTGAGACTAGGCTATTGTCCTTGGAAGAAAAGTGGTGGGAAGGAGGCCTTTCCTTAGGCAAAGTTCTGGCTCCTAGGTATTTACTGTCCCAGCATATTCAGAACTATTGGATTCTTTTCTACAACCCTTTAAAGAGAACTTGAATCCTTTTATAATCACCACAGCCCAGCTAGAGTAGAAGGTGGTTGGGGGACCCTGGAACCTGTTAGTCAGCTTATGTTTAAAAACAAAAGGGGAAAAACTTCTCCTACCCCTCTGTGAACCTGTTTTTCTGCTTAAGTTTAAAAGCTTTTTCTTTGAAATCTCCCAGTGCACTCTCCGTGGGCTGGACCCATCAGAGCTGTGGCCATCACTGTGCCTCTGGTTGTCATCTCCGCATTCGCAACACTTTTCACTGTGATGTGCAGAAAGAAACAACATGGTAACTGTCTCTTTGCACCGTGTCCTGTCCTCTCCACCTTCTGGTGTGTGGCAGGCCAAGGGTGGGAGCCTGGGAAGCCCTGTTCCTCCAGGAGGGCCTGGGGTGCCTCAGATTTCATTGCCAGTTCCTTGCCTACTGAAGTTCCCAGAATCCAAATATTTGTCTTTTAATCTCTGGGACCTGGCAATGGGGAGGCATAAAATCCAGTTCTCAAATGCAGGAAGTCTGAGTATGAGAACAGAGTCATATGGAGGGCTTCATCAGTGATAAGTTTAGTTATTTCACCTGAAAATTGCAGATGAGCTATATCTTGGTCTAGGTGGGTTACCCACGTATAAACTTACATAAAAGTCATGAAGACGTCCACTTAAGACTTGTGTGCTTTAACATAGCATGGGGGCACTAGCTTTGTATCCTAGCTATTTGGGAGTCTAAGGCAGGAGGCAAGAGGGTCACTTTAACCCAGGAATTGGAGGCTAGCTTCGGTAATACTGTGAAACCTTTTGTCGCCCCCAAAAAAGAGAGAGAGAGAGAAAAGAAATTTTGTTTTGGTATGCTTTACTTTTAAAAATTGTACTTAAACAATTCTCCTTCCCTCTGCTAATGCTTTATTTAGTGGCTTTGATTGCCAGTGCCATCGCTGGCACTTCTCTGATGGCAGTGGCTGCTGCAACATTTCTTGGCACATCCAAGGGCAGTTTCTGTCGATACCAGTTGTGTTTTTACTTCCTGATGCTGCAGGAACTGACTGCCTTGGTTCACAGTGCAAGTTGAGGCTGGTGGAGTGGAGGGCCAGAGACTCCGTAAATGGAGACGTCAGCTGTTCCTTTTGGTAAATTTACTTTGGAGACTGGATCTCTTGTAGCCCAGGCTGGCCTCCAGCTTGCTGTGTAGCTGAGAATGATCCTGAGCTTCTGACCTTTTTGCCTCCACCTCCCAAGTGCTAGAATCACTCTTGTACTGTGCCCTAGCTTAGCCGCTCATTCCTGAAGATACTGAGACCCAGGTCATATGGGAAAAGACAAAGCTTTGTTTATAAGTGTCAACCTTATCTTCTCTCCCAATTTAGAAAATATATATTCACATTTAGATGAAGAAAGCCCCGAGTCCTCCACATACACTGCGGCTCTCCCGAGGGACAGGTTCCAGCCACGGCCCAAGGTTTTTCTCTGCTACTCCACTAAAGATGGCCAGAATCACATGAATGTGGTCCAGTGTTTTGCCTACTTCCTCCAGGATTTCTGTGGCTGTGAGGTGTGGAATACAGTTTCTTCTTCTACCCTGGGCAGGATATAAGCTCCATATTCCTCTTCAATGCCTTCTCCTCTCCAATACTTTCTGGAAACCTACTTTTGCCCATTGCCTTAACTCTTTCCAAATCAGAATTAGTTTGAGTTTGTCCTCTCTGTCACCAAGCAGTAAATGTTTCATATAACCGTTCTTGCTTGAAACCCTTGAGTGGCATCCACATGGTAGGACATTTCATAAGTGCTGAAAAAGAGTGTCCTGGCATGGAACATATGGCCAGAATGTGAGATTGTCAGTGGGGCATTGGGAGAGAAGGTCAAAGAAGACAGCTTTTAGGAGTTTGGGCAATTCTCTGAAGGAGTTTGCTGAGATGGGAATGGGATCTTGGAGTCTGGGAGGCCTAAAGTTGAGTGGTACGATGTCATGGAAAGAAAAAACCAGTGAGAAGGCAGTGGCTAGAGAACCAGAAAGTAAAAGGAGAAGACTCCAGAATTTACCAAGCATGAATGTCTATGCTGGTCTCTTAGCTCTCCTGCTCCTGCTCCTCTTCCCCCCTTTTCCTCTTGTGCCCCACCCCACCCCCTCTCTTCCCCCTTCTTTTGGTTTATCTCACTATGTAGCTCTGGCTGTCCTGGAATTCATGTGTAGAACAGGCTGACCGATGTTTCACAGAGGTCCGTGGCCTGTCTCCCAAGTACTGGGATTAAAAGCTTGTGCCCCCATGCCTAGCTTTCTTAGCTCTTTTTGAGGCAACTATTAACATGTAGCTTTCTGTAAATAATGATGTTTCATTTTTAAAGTGAAGTCTGAAACTATCGTGGAAGGCATACCCTGTTTGTCACAAAAGCAACTAATCATGTGATATTTTGCAATTCCGTTGGCCCATTTCTTTGGTGAGAGTGCCCTCTGTTGTTAATAAGATGTATTTACAAGATGATGGAATTTTCCTCCTGGGGGACAAAGTCTTAAGCTTAGCTGGTGAATAGCTGCTGAGAAATGCCACCACTGTAGCCAGTGGCCTGACATGTTCAGATAGGACAGGCACAAGTGGTGTATTTTTGCCCTGTTCTTTTGTACATAGGTGAAATTGCACATAAAGAAATTTGTTTTTTTTTTAAATAACTACAACATCATCCATAAAATTGACGTGCCGTAGCTGAGTTAGTTCAGGTTGTTAAGCTTTTTAGTGCTGGGCTGGCTCATTTCTGATGATTTCCTGATTATCAGAACACCTCACATTGTGATTGCTCAGTCTGAAATAGGAATATATATATATATATATTTTAAAACATTTATGTTTTATTTATTAAGATGAAATCAGACCTATACAGAATTTTACACTTTTGTAAAACATGCCACATGTGATTTGACAAAATACATATCAAAAGATTAGTAGAACTATTTATACAATATATATATACCTAGAGGCCATATATTTTTAAAATACCCAGTTAGCTTGAATGCATAATGTTGGTTAAAGTCTGAGATGATTCAGTATTCTTTTCAACAGATGTTGGATGTTGGGGCTTTCTTTCCTTGGGTACCATTTTAGAACAGGAGAATAAGATCCTTTCAGAATGCCCCTCCCTGTATAATCTGTGGCTAGCTGTTAGGGATTAATTTTTGAGCTACAGGAGAAATGGTGCCATTACAGTTGTCGTCAAGGAATGCTGCTTACAGTATTAGATGAAAGTAGTTTGAATGGTAGAACCCTTTGTGAGGATCAGACATACTTGGTTTTCTTTCCCTTGACCTCCTATCCTCAACCCTCATGGTTCACAGGCCTTGTACAGCTATGACATTGTAGACCTCTATGAAACCATAGAGAAAGACACTGAATCCAGGCCGGGTTAACCAGGAAAACCACACTAAGCAGCAGTCTGTGAGCATGGCCACAGAGGCCCTCTTTCACAGTCACACTCTGCATGTGAGTCGCCTGTCATCATCAATGGCCCTGGCACCAGAGCCAAGCCCTATTTTTCATTACACTCTGGGATCACCACCTACCTCCTCTTTTCAGAGCCTTGTCCCCAGGGTCTTTCTGCTCCTTATATCACACACGCTATTCTGAGCTCCTTTCCATTCTGTCCTCTCTGTCACTGTCACACTGTGGGTTCCACGAGGACATTCTCAAGGTGTCTTAGGCAAGTCACTGAAAACCCTGGCCTCTTGTCTCTTCACTTGTGGGGCAGCAGTGCTAATGACCCAACCAACACGTTAACAAAATGATGTCATGGATGGCAAGCACTTCAGGAAGACTGGCATGTGAATGTGGTTGCTAACCACAGAGCTTTGGGAGTTCCTGTGTGTGTGCGCGCGTGCACACATGCACACATATCCCTGATAATAGTGGCTAAGGGCGGATGATGGGACCTCACTCACTGTCTCTCCAGTCTTCTCTCTGAGCATTGGCTTAATACAAGCAGCAAGATGATCTATCCTCTTTCCAGGTGGTTCTGGACCTTTGGGAAGATTTCAGCCTCTGCAGGGAAGGGCAGAAGGAATGGGTCATTCAGAAGATCCACGAGTCCCAGTTCACCATTGTCGTGTGCTCTAAAGGCATGAAGTACTTCGTAGATAAGAACTACAAACGTAGAGGTGGCAGTCGCAGTGGGGAGCTCTTCCTAGTGGCCGTGACAGCCATTGCTGAGAAGCTCCGCCAGGCCAAGCAGAGTTCATCTGCAGCGCTGAGCAAGTTTATCGCTGTCTACTTTGATTATTCCTGTGAAGGAGATGTCCCCTCTGTCCTGGACCTGAGCACCAAGTATAAGCTCATGGACAACCTTCCTGAGCTGTGTTCCCATCTGCATTCAGGAGAACACAGCCCGCAGGGCCTGGGTCAGCACCCAGGAAACCACAGCAGAAGGAACTACTTCCGGAGCAAGTCTGGCCGCTCCTTGTATGTTGCCATTTGCAACATGCACCAGTTTATTGATGAGGCGCCTGATTGGTTCGAGAAGCAGTTTATACCCTTCCATCCTCCCGCTGCGCGCTACCAGGAGCCGGTCCTGGAGAAGTTTGACTCAGGTTTGGTTTTAAATGATGTCATAAGCAAACCAGGGCCAGAGAATAACTTCTGTCTAAAATCTGACACTTCTGTACTTGGGGCCACCAGGTCAGCTGACTCATACTCACACCTGGAAAATCACCATGCAGGCCTGGACCAATACACCGAGGCCCTGACCATCTGTGATAATGGCCCTGTGTTGCAGCCCCTGTTGCTTGCAGGGAAAGCTAGCATTCCCTCAGATATGCCACGGGACTCAGGCATATATGATTCCTCTGTGCCCTCATCAGAGTTGTCTCTGCCTCTGATGGAAGGACTCTCCCCTGACCAAATGGAAACATCTTCCCTGACTGAGAGTGTATCTTCCTCCTCTGGTTTAGGTAAGATGCCTTGGAACTGGGCTCTCATTTTTTCTATCTACATACCTATATATCTGTCTTCAATCTAATCATTTAATCCATCTCTCTCTCTCTCTCGATATATATATATATATATATATCACCTATTCCCTATTCATTTATTTATTTATTGGTTTTGTTTTTGAGACAGGGTCTCTGTGTAACTCTACCTGTCCTGGAATTCACTAAGTAAACCAGGCTGGCCCCTCCATTGTGTTACACATGGTGTTGCCTTTAAAAAATTATGTTTATTTTTTTTTGTGTGTGTGTACACACACAGGGATGGAGCATGTATCATGGCATACGTGTGCAGATCAAAGGATAAATAGTAGGAGTAGTTTCTTTCTCTCCATTGTGTGGGTCCCCCAGATTAAACTCAGGTTGTTGGACTTGGTGGCAGTCTCCTAACTCTGAGACATCCCACGAGCCCTGCATTGCCTTTCTACATTGGTAAAAGACTGGAATACCAAAACACATGCACTGGGTAAGGGTCTGTGGGATTGTGTCTTTGCTGGGATGCATAGCATTTGCTACCTTTATCCTCCTACTGCCTTCAAAGCCCTGATATATATTGAACCTGAAGTTCAGGAATGCAGTATTCTCTATCCTAGCTCTACACAGCACTCCAGGTAGGAGGGCTCTTCCCCAGAGAGCCTCGGGAATCTACCACACTTAAAATATTTTAGTTACACATGCAAAACTTTGGCCCTAAAGGAGGGATCTTCCTTCCTCTACAAAGGGGACTAGATCCTTTAAGAGGATGGGAGAGTTGGTCTGAACTGGCTCTGATGCCTGCTTCATTGGTACAAAGTCACAAGCAAATCCCAGCCATGGCTTGGTCTGGACGAGTGAAATACACTGACCGTGTGGCTCTGTCCCTTTCTTTTCTCCTTAGGCGAGGAGGACCCCCCTACCCTCCCTTCCAAGCTTCTCACCTCTGGGGTATGCAAAGCAGAACATGGTTGCCACAGATACACCGATGAACTCCAAGCAGTTGCCCCTTTGTAAGGGCATGGAAGAATCTAAGCAACACCACTTTAACTGCTGCTCACTCTGGTTGCCCAGCTCTGCGGTTGTGCAGCCTACTTGGAACAAAAGTGGCCAATTCTCCATCCTTTCTGCTCTAGCGTTTCCCATCTCCCAAAAGCATATGGAGCTCTACAAGGCATGTCTGCTAGATCAGGCAGCAGCTGGCTGTGTGATGGGAGCCTGTTCTGGGAGCTAGAGAGGAAGCAGGTAGAGAGAAGAGAAAGCACCAGCACTTCTTGTTCTGACTTCACTGAACTCTGCAAACCTTACCTAGCCCCTCTCGGCTAACTTTAATTCAAATGCTTTGTGGAAAAAGCACTTTGAACGTCGTTACAGCTACACATGTCAAGTACTGTCTGGGACCCAGATTGTGCTGCAAGTGATATTTCCATTCACTTTTGATGTGGAACTTACACTGTTGTCCTGAGTGTTCACTAAACTTTGAGTCAAAGGTCCAGACAACGACTAAGTGTCCATCCAGTCACTTTTTATGAAACAACTGTCTCTGTTTTGCTGGGAAACATGGCTGACCAGGATGGACTTGCATGGAGCACGCTGACCATCTTGACCATCCTATGCAAGGAAGATACCAGAACCTGGGCATCTTCCCTGGGTTTAAGTGGCCATCATGTGGGGACCACAGCTGTCTGTTTAGTTTCCCTGGGTTACATTTACTGCTCTGTAGCTGAGGTGATGATGGCTGGAAATAGAGGACTGATACCCAGCTAGACGACATTGTTGGAAGCTGTGGTTTCAGCCTCAGCTGGTGCTCTATGTCCTGAATGTCAGAGATCAGAATATACTAAAATACAACAGTGTGTGGGAGGTAATGGCCAGTTAATCTGATGTGGTTTTGACTAGTGACAAACCTTCTTTTAGAAAGCAGGAAGGAGGAGATTGTTACAAAAGTAAATATTCTATTTTCATGAATGACTCTTGTACAGAAGTTCTTTTTCCAAAGGCAAAACATCTTTTCACATGCTATGTATTAATTAGATATATGTAATGACTCATTTGTCTCCTGTGGAAACCTTTATCCTCTCATTCTGACACACTTGGTGTGAGCATCCTTCTCCATTGTTATCACGAGTGTTGTTGGATTTTGGCAGTCGGTTTTCTCAGCATTCGGTTGGGAACTGTGAAGGATTTTCCCCATTCCTTAGCCATTTAGAATCAACATTAAGGAGGATGCTGATAAAGACCCCAAGGTGGGGGTAGAGGCGAGATGAGACAGGGCTTTTCCTTCTAGGCACACATGTTTTCAGAGGGAGGGGAAGGGAACCTCTGATCTCACTGAGAAGAGGTGGAGGTTTGTGTGTATTTTAGAAGAAAGTACCCTCCCTGTTCTGCACAGGCAGCTGGCAGCTTCTCAGGAGAATATGCTCCTCTGTCCTCTGGTAGAGGACAGAGCAGCTGCTCTGGGTGAGCTGTGAGACAGTCTCACTGTAAAACCAGACCTCTCAGCAGAGGGTTTGTTCCATATTGTCACTGTGGAATCTAGACTGAGCAGACAGAGCTCCCACCTCCATGAGACTTCCCTGGCCATTCTCAGTCTTGGCATTCATTCTCTGAGGGAGATCAGTGGGCTGAAATTGCTAATGTTCACTGGGAACATCACAGTGTGTGTGTGTGTGTGTGTGTGTGTGTGTGTGTGTGTGTGTGTGTGTTAAACTGAGGCCAAGAAATGTTTTATGCCCACCCCGAAAGAAACCACTTTTAGGATGGTACTCAGCTTTGCATATGGAATGTGGGGCCTCCTGAGATTGGCTAAGAACAGCAGGGGCTTTGGGCTGAGGGCTAAGTGAGGCCCAGGCAGAGATCTCATTGTGTGGATTCAGGTGAGGAAAGTGGAGGGAAACCATCTTAGCCCTCTTTTGCTGATCTAAACCATCAGGATCACGAGGTGGTGTTTCAGTTTACATTTAGTGATTGTATGATTTAATTTTTGAACTACAAATGTTTTCTATTAGAAGGCTCAGATTCTAATGTGCCAAGTGATGAAAGTACAATAAGGTTGCCTAACTCAGGGTGAGCAGATAGTGGCAATGAGGTGAATTTTACTAGTCAACCCCTTTTCCGCCTCCACCTCATCACTTGAGCTAGGGATGAGAATTGCCTTCCAGATGAAGGCACAGTGTCTGTTCTGAACGAAGCTGCAGTTTTGAATCAAAATTGCCCCACAAAATACAAATGGTAGGATGGAATTAGAGAGAGGTTCTGACAAGGCACGGGCCTTCTGATGCTGTATAAAAACAGAAGGAGGTCTGAGAGTGAATAGTGTGTGCATAATGAGAGGTGTCCACTGGAAAGGAGGCTGGGGCGAGGCCGGGGTAAGGCCGGGGCCACAGGAAGCCAAGAATGATGAGGTAGTTGTTGACCTGTGTCTGTGGGTATGCCACAAATGTGTCTGATGCTGAGAAATCTAGCAATGGGGGTGAAGGGGTTGTCTGAGCAGTTGGTGGCAAGTAACAGGAACCACCTCAGTGGATCCCACCCAGCTACACAGGTGCAGAGCTTGGGGCTTTGGGTACATGGATTTCTAGAAGGAATCAGAAGTCATCTTTGCCCAGGGATCCAGATGGATCTGAGGTTTTTGATTGGCAGACAAGTGCTAATTGAAGTCAGTCCTGGGTCAGAAGCCAGGCTGTCTTAGTGCTGATGAAGTCATGGGAGCATGTAGACTGGGTTCAAGTTCACATGCAATTGAAGCTCACACTTACTGCTTCATGGCAACGTGATTGTTTTTGTTACTGGTTTTCTCAACAACTTTTAGTCTTAGGTCCTCTGACTTTTATATAAGTATGCAAATAGGAGTCTATTCCCCCAAAACTGTGGCATTGCAGGGTTTTGGGGGCTTTTCATAAGGAATAGGGAAGTTATTTTGTTCCTGGAGGAGAAAGAAAGGAAGACACAAAATCCCTAGCTACCTCAACAGAAGAGAGAACATTCTGCCTTTATGGGGAAAAGGTAGACAACACCAAAGTGAAGGTTTCTCATCTTTCTCTTTTCTCTTCCATTGCTAGGGATGGCTGCCCTGCCCATAGTTGGCAGGTCTGTGCCTTCTGGGGCATCAGTGTACTCAGGCATAAGGAAAATAGGAGTGGCACGACACCTACAAGAGAGGCAATGGGACATGGTGGCAGCTGGAGCAAACTGAGGCACCCCTGTCAAGCCTTCGGAAGGCTCGGCATCCCATGAGTGTCTCCAGACACTGTTTGCTGGTTTTCCCAGTTTTCAAGCTATTAATGTCTAACACTGACAAGCAAGACAACCCAAATTTAGTTCTGTGGACCCACCCTCTCCTTAAAGTTGTGTTCTTTAACTTCCTCATACTGGCCGTGGCACTCACAGATACCCATGTGGTTTGTTCCTGTGTATCCCAGGCTGGCCTTGAACTCCTGATGCCTCTGTCTTTGGCATGAACCATGACCCACAGCATCAATATGATTCTGAGTGCATTTGAAATGCATCCGTGTCTCTATATTTCATAATGTCTCTAGAGAAAGGCAGCTCAGCTGTCAGTTTCAAATTCAGATGTATCCTGTCCAGGAAACAGTTGCATTTAAAACCCTGGACTTTGGGGGCCTTTTATAGTTTAACTCTAGTAGAAATCATGTTTTTATGTGGGGGGCATTTCTGAGCTTATGCCAAGATATTAATAGGAGAAATTTATTTGGGGAATATAGCAAAGGCTTGTATAACACCCCACACTGGGTTTTGGCATCACTCTTTTTCTGTAATCTAGGACTCTGTTGCAGGTGTGATATAAGAAACTGGACAGGTGCATCTCTTCCTGTTGGATTTCTTCCTGTTGTTGAGATACCAGGTGTCCCCATGGGTGCTTGCTCACCCATGTCATATCACTACTTTTCTAGATCCAAGGGTGAAAGTTAGCTGAAGCAAGGTTGACTGAAAGTGGTTGGCTTTGGTTCCGGTGAGGAGAGGCTTAGATCACCCAGCACGTTCCCTCCATGTGCTTAAGACAAGCTGTGCTTGAGTTGTTCCAGACACAAAGCTGTGGCTGAGAGTCTGGCTCTTTAGCGAAGATTCTGTAACCTCCCTGTTGATTGGACAATTCTTTGTATGTCTTCCTTGCAGAAATTCAAACCAGCTTTCTTTTGTCTAGGGTGTAGAGGAGAAAGAACAGCTGGTCACCTTCCCAGTATTGAAAAACCACAGTGAAGTCATCCCCTGGTGTTTTTTCAGTAGTAAATAATCCCACCCACTTAGTTTCACAACTCTTGTTCTCTCGGGACTTCATGCCCTCCATCCTACACGTCTCAGCTTCACACTCAGTTCTGTTACCCAAACAATGCCGATGCCTTGTGCACTTGGGTGCCATCTGACAACCCTACCCCAGTTAGGATTACAGGGAAATTTGTGTGGGCCTGGCTGCTCTAACCACATTTAAAAAATGGCATGGCACCTTTAAAGAACTGTCACACCACTGATATGCATTCCAAGAGTTGTGCCTGCCATGTTCTCTTGGTGATAGTCTTTGCCCCTGTGGTGTAGTTTCTTTTCTCCCACAGGCAATCAGTTGGTGCCTATGCCAGATGTATTTAATCTGAAGACACCCTGCAAGGCCAGCTCTTACCTTGAGTGGCAGCTACCCCTGCACTCCACTGTTGGGTTCTGTTTTTACTTATCTCTAGACTTTACCTTTATTTTGTGAATCATATTATCTAAACAGTGCACACCTCAGCAGAACCTCTGGCAAGGTAAGGCCAGGAGTTGCTAAGTGCCACTTTTCCATTGTTGTTGGGGACTAATTTATAAATCCCTTTGAATGCCTCAGTAAGGGCCTCTGGAGAATTTTGGCCAATTGTTTTCTTTCCTGCCCCTTGGCTCCTGTTGACATTCATCTGGGACCACAGACACCAGGGCTCTATCTTTCAGACGAGCAGGCAATAGTGGTATAGTGATACAATCAGAAATCAGACAGAAGAAATCGTTCCAACTGCACAGCTAATATTTATGTCACATAGGTCCTGTAGAAAGAGTCAAAGGAGCAGCTTTCTGTGGATGCCACTGGGTTATACTCAATGTGCTCATTGGTTATTTAAAAGAAAAATTCTCTTCCTCTCAAAGAAGCATGTCAGATTTAGACAGCAAAAACTTATACCAACTCCAAAGTGTTCATTCTGAGAGTAACTTTAATTTTTCTTATCTGTTTAAAACACAAAAATATTTTTGCTGTGGAAGCTCCTGTGTTGGAGGAGGAGGGGGCTTTGGGCACAATGATGACTGGTGTCATTGTTCTGTTTTATCTTGTAATTTTTCCTTTGTGGGATTTGGCAGAATAGTGAGCATTGACAGTCAGTAGCAGTGTGCCACATTTTTACATTGGGGATAGTGATGAGATTTGACTGAACAAAACCCTGTAAATAGATGATAGCAAGTCATGGCTGACATTTGTAAGATGTTTTTTGTGCCTTAGAATTTCTGCATCAAATAAAATGTTTTGTGGTAAGCCTGCAGTGATTCCTTGTTTCAGAATGTCTGTCCTGTCTCCAGAGCTTGGGCTCCTGGCCTCTTACAGAGGAGGCTGAGAAGGTAAGGCACTCTTCCAGGTAAGTTTCTGGTACCCAGTCCCAGCTCTGCTGCAGGTGCTGTGACCCTGTGATTAGGAGACCTCCAGTTTCTATAGAAAGGGTCCAAAGCCCTGCTTTAGGGGTTGCTGACAGCACCCAGCAGTTGTCAGTGTACCCAAAGTGAGAGATCTCCGCCAGAGGGCAATGGTTGATAAGCAAATGGTCAAAGTTGGACTCTTGGGCATGTCAGGGTCAGAAATCAGGGTGTGCCCAGAATTTGCAGCTTGTATT